GTCGCAGCTTGTTTTTAAAGCCGCACGTGCAGAGATTGCGGGACTTGGCAGATTTGAAAACGGATTGCGATTTTTGCTGTTCACGAACCCACAGGCTGCACTTGCCGCACTCTATCAGGAACTGTCGGCCGGCGGCGCCTCGCCACAGGAGTCGTTGCCGTCGTGGCCCGGCTTGAGACTTCGGGGTTTGGAGTTCCGGCTTTGACTCGGCGAGACAAGTTTCAGGAATACCTTTCACGGCTGGCGGGATTTCGAGCATGGAGTTCGAAAGTGAGTCCTTCTGGAGTGGTAAGGTTTAACTCAGGGCGGCGGCGTTTGAGACTCGAAGTCTCGGGCTACGGCTTGGGTTCGGGAACTCTGTGCGCAGCCTCAAATCCAGGAGGCCCTGGTCGAAGTATTTGCATCCTCTCTGTTCTCGCACCACCCATGCTCCGTGTCCTAAGCCTGTAACCTTCACTCCCCGAAGCCCACACACCGACGGTACCCTTAAGCGAGAAACCCGAACTTGAGTTCCTGAATGCAAACCTAGACCCATGAAGCCCTTAAGCCCAACAACTGCAAAGCACTCAATTCTGCACACTCCGAACAATGAGGCCGAAAAGCGCAAGAACACATAAAACCCACAGACCTCCTTATCGTAGCCTTTTTCAGAGCAACTGATTTACATCTCTTGACACATCCATGAAGCACCCTATTTGCCCGGCCCTAAACCCTATAAGCCCTGAAACCCCTAAACCCAAAAAGCCCAGTAGAAAAAGAACATTCAAGGAACTTCGGGAGCCCGGACAGCGGCGCAGACGCCGCGGCCCAGGAAGACCCGACCGAGGAGGTCTGAGGAAGTCTATTTCAAAAGCTAGGGTTGGGGTTTTGGGGGTATTGACGTTTCCGTTTACGGCTTCAAAATTGAGGGTTTAGGATTTTGAAGCTGGGATTAAGAGAGGTTTGTGGGGGTTGCCGTCTCGGAACCATGTCGCCTTTGCTCCAACTCGTCTTCATCGCAAGCACATGACTCGTCATTTCCAAAGCCAGGCTGCTGCGGAGGGGGCGGCAGCCGCTGATGATGCAGCCTCGGAGGAGGCTGGCCGAAGTCCGCAGCTATCGTTGGCAGGTCCTTGTAGTGGATGCTAGCAATGGTCAAAGTCAAAGTATATGGCTTGGCATGATCCGCGAAGAGGACGTGAAGCAGCAGCAGGAGAGGCAGTAGCAGTAGCAGAAATCTCGGTAGAGGTAGCGGTGGCAGCAGTAACACATAGAAAAAAGCATAGCGCAAGCCGTCGTCGAAGCAAGTGCCGACTGGCTCTCTGCAGCCTCGTCGTAGTAGCAGTGGTGGCGGGAGCAGGAGCTGGTGCAGTGGTTCCAGGCGGCAAAGAGGTGTCGGGTGTTGTTGGTGATACCGGAGCCGAAAAACAACAAATATAAACATCCCAAATCATCACACCATGCGCTCTTCATTTCCACAGGCTACTTCCTAACCATCTTGGCCTGTATGGAAGAGCCTGCGAAAGCAACCGGAACGCTACATGCCCTAAGCTCCACGCCTTGGAAACCCGGCCGGGCATGCAGCACCTCAAGCGAAGCCGCACGCAAGGCTGCAGTTGGGGGGGAGGCAGCCGGTGCGGCTTCGGAGGAGGCTGGCCGACGTCCGCAGCTGTCGTTGGTTGACCCCTTATGCACAATGTCAACAATGGCCATATCATATGGCATGTTCTCCCATGTCTAAAGTCAAATTGTGGGTATGAAATGCCTTTGGAAAGGCACAGTGCTAGTAAGAAAAACTCTTGCTACAAAACGCAGCAGGCAGTGGCAGAAGCAGTGGTAGTGGTCGTCGTCGTAATAGTAGTAGTAGTCGTCGTCGTCGTCGTAGCAGCAATAGGACAAACAGAGGTCGCAGTGTGCGTTCGTTTGATCCACCACTATCTTGTAATCATGTTCGGGTAGGAGCAGTACTGGTGGTAGTCGTCGTCGTAATATGTAGTAACGGTGAAGGTGGAAGTCCGGCAATACTACAAGATATGGGAGGCAAGTAGTAGACTAGTTGTAGGCGTGTCAAGGCCAAGCCGGCCCAGAGGTGTTGCAAGCAGCGCGGTCTCTTTTCAGAAGCTAAGTTTCGGTGCCGACATGGCCACCGGCTTATTCCCAAGAATAGACGTGGTGCTGGTAAGGAGTGATGAATCACGGGATGACAAGTTGTGTACCGGGATGGGCAGCAACATGCGAACATATTGCGGGTCAGCTCAAGGGCAAAATTTGTGTCGGAGCTGCCCCCATGCTCCTCACAAGAATCCACTGAACACAACTCCCAGTGTCCCAACGCGGTCCCGGTACTGGTTTGCAAACATCACTGCGCTGTCCCATTCATTGTTTGATGATCATAGCAGACTCTGCGAGGACAATGAAGCCGAGGATGATGCCCCAGCCGCTGCCGTTGACTACTTCTAGGTGGTGCCTCCGGACATCCCAATTGCCGGTCAGAAGGAGCGCAGAGCATCTTCGGCAACGTTTCCTTGACATAGCAGCCGCCTAAACCGACATGGCTCGTTGACACTTGTTGCGGATTTGCTCGTGTAACTGGTATGCAAATTGTTCGCATGAAGACATCAATTCAATAATCGTCTCGTTTCGGACCCCGGATCCTGTTGCTGGAACGCGAGGTGGAGCGAAAACCCTACAACAACTTCGCGCCATCAATGTTATCAACAGCAGCAAGATGCAGCAACACGCAGTATTTGTGTTCTCACTGAACTATGACTTCCAATCTGCTACGGCATGTTATGTCCGTTGCCTTGGAGGAATGAAGCCTTAGATCCTCATCGTGGATTTCGCGTTTCACATGTGAGCCACCATGGCAGAGTACTTCAGCCCTAAGGCCCTAAGGCTCGATGGCCTCGTGATTGAGACTCAACGGAGTTGAGGGTTCTTGAGCCGAAATAACATGCTGTGAAAGATTTGGGCTATGTCGAGCCGTAGGGTACTCTTGGAGTGAGGCAGCTTTGCTTCTGCATGGCAAGATGTGCTGCCGAGGAAACTTTCCCGACCTATTTATTCTCCATGCCGGGGCTAAACTCAACCCTCAGCGCAAGCCTGCCACCAAACCGTGTTCAAGCGGTATGCTGTTTCTTCGGTGCTACTGCCCGGAGCCGCACGAGAGATTCTGCTTATCTGAGTACGAAGGAATGAGTCAGCATTTTCGAATCGTAAAACCTTCGACCCCACTCATATGAATATAAGTGAGTGTTTCATCAGTCGCCGATACTACCACAGCCACCGCCCTCGAACCAACCGTCCCGCGGGGACCCTACAGCCATCATGTAGTAAAGGATGCATACAGCATCAATCCGGGTACTTAATTCAAGAGCCTGCGCAGAGGTCCCTTACGCTCTGAAGGCGTGTGATCGGCGCACGCGAAAGCGTGGCATGAAATTGAAATCTGAAGTTACGTGCTGGTGCTGGGACCCATCTTGTCGCCGCGGTTCTCGGCTGTCGTTCGGGCTCCACTCAATGCTTTGGGGTTTATTTGTTCAGCGCGCGGTCCTATTATCATTCCAGAGCTGTGTGTTCGCTGTCCTAGAATAATCAAGCAGGGCTCAAGGCAGAGATTGGCGAAGGCTTCTTTTACCTCTGACCGAGTAGTGATTCAGTATAGTGAGAGCTTACAGCTGCAGAAGCGTCATTGGTGGTGGGTGGTGCTTGTGGTAGTCGTGACTAGTCGCGATGGTGGTACTTTGATATGTATTGGTAGCAGCAGCAGCAGTAGTAGTAGCAGCAGCAGCAGCAGTAGTAGTAGTAGTAGCAGTAACAGTAGCAGCAGTAGTAGTAG